CAGTTGCAGTGGGTTATGTGAATTCCACCAAAGCCCAACAATTCCTGGAGGACACAAGAGCCTCTCTGTTCCTGAGCGAGCCTGTGTCTCAGGTGGCCGGTGGCTGCTGCTCTACAGCAAAAGTCCAGAGTGAACAAGGAGGTGGGTGCTTTCAAAGGCCACAGCATAAGAATGTCACTAACACTTGGGAGAAAAAGGCTGGAAAAGCCTTGATGTTCCCAGTGACAACAGAAGAAGGCTGCTGGGGCCTGTCACCACTTGCAGGGACTGCACAACAATGGGACACCTGCACCCCATCTTTCTTCTGTGGATTGCATCTTCTCTCTCCATGGCTTGTGGAAGGAACGTGTGAAGGGATGCAACTCTGTGTTCTGTGTGAAATAAATGGACCTTGTGTGCTTACAGATCCTCAGGAGGGCTGGATGGAGGCAGCTGTGAAGGTGGCAAGGCAGCCTGCTGGGGTGGTGTAGCTCTTTAGCACACAGCCCGCAGTGTTTGCCTCACATTTAGCAATACTGATAAGGAAAAAGCTGCTGCTCCCTCAGCATATCATATTACTCTCCTGCTTCAATTCCCTGTCATTTCCTGACTCCTGTCAGCTCCGCCTGCCTTCCACTCCAGTAGGTTATACCATGAGGTCCACTCCTTCATGGGAGGAGTGCAAGAAACTGTGCAAAAGGGGAATGTCATATATAGTAATTATTTCAGAGGGGAAGGTCCCCCCCAGTCAGCTCAGGAGACAGCGCCTTCTGAGACTGCTGGGAGAAAACTCTGACAATGAAATCTTGAGAGGGGTGGCCTTTCACCTTTATCACCTAAGGGGAATGTGTGATTATAGACAAAAGCAGGCACTGACTTTAAGAGGTTGCTACAGGCTGGAGCCATCCAGCTTCACTATTCAGAATTGCCACCATCAAGAGGAGACCAGCACACAGCAGCAGTGAAACTCAAGGACATGTATACTGGACACCCTCAAACCAGGAGGCACTTTAGAGCTTGTTTTGGGGCTGACTTAGAAACGGGAAATAATAATAATAATAATAATAATAATAATAATAATAATAATAATAATAATGATGATGATGTTGTCTTTCCTGAATAAAGACTGAATGGGCTTTATCAGCACTACAATATGTGCTGACCTTCCATCCAAGACAATATTAAGCGAGACTATTTACTTATTGTATTACTGTATATTACTCTGTAACTGCTTATGTCACCAGAAGCCATAAGGCAGTCTTAGATTTACTTTTCTTCCTCCAGACAGGTAATGTGGAGTGTGCTTCTCTTTAGAACTGATTTTCTCTTCTAATTTTCACTACCCAAACAGTCATTCTGTATCCTTCAGTCTCTGGTCTCTAGGTCTTTGGAGGGGCAGATCCTTCAGGGAATCTCTAATGCTCATGGTGTTGCAAGAAAGCTTCCTCTGCCTCCCACAGGAAAGCCCTTTGGCCTGGTCAGCAAAAGCACCATTGATTCTGCAGGTGCTGAACAGAGATCTCCTTTTGAGATTGATGGCAACATCCACAGTGGTGACTGGGTATTTCATTTGAGGAAGAACAGCCTCTAGGGGATGAAGGACAGCCCACCTTCTACAAGAAGATCTGACATCTTGAACTTCATTGGGTAAGCCTTGTATAAAACTGTGGATTCCTTACAAATTTCTTCTCCCCTTCAAATGAAGACTTTTCCCAAATACTGGCTTTCAACAACAAGCTCAAGAGTTTGCAGTGCCATCATCCCTGAGGGCCAGCTGGTTTGGTGGTACACAACAAGGAAACTGTTTTCAGCAGAGCCAGTTTATCTGAAAAAACAGCCTCCCAGCAGTACGGATCACTTGCCCACACAAGTGACCTGAGGTTCAAAGTAAGTTTATTTTGCCTGCAGTTTGGGACAGACAGTAGTACGAGTCTTGAGTTTGATGAGATGACATCCCACGCTCATGTGCTGCCTGTTGCCACTAGTGAGAGTGGAGCTCAAACAGGTAACATGCAAAATTCACATGAACGGGTGGGATTGGAGAATTCATTTTATTTCCCTTAACAGTACTAGAAACGCCCTCATGATCCCAGTGTATTTGTTGTAACATAGTAAGAACATGATTAGCATTTAATGCTATTTAATAAATATGCTGATTAACTTAGGCAACAGTAATCAGTACCTGCACAGATTAACAAACTTGACCAGTCAGTGGTGTGAAACAGCTATGAGGACATGATATATTAACTCTGCTTTGCATTTTAAGATTGAATTTGGGCATCCTAATACCCTGAAGAAGTCTTTTTCCAAAATTGAAGATACATTTGGCTATGACAGGAGTCTCTATTTCTTTATTTTGTATGTGATGCCGAATGGGGGGCAAAAAACTAATCTGTTATTTGGGGTGCTGTGAGAATAGGAAGAACAGAATTGATTTGTGATCTGAAACTTTATAAAGTCTTTTTTTGATCAGGTTAATAAATCAGTAAGGCTTTGGAAGAAAAATTAATCTTTGTAAATCCTATTTGTAAATCTAAATTATTCTGATAAGTCCAAATCAGAATAGATACTTTTGGTGATGTTCCTCCAGACTTAGGGATCCCAGGAATCCTGTAAAATATCTGCAGAGGTTCCTCACAACTCCTTCTTGGTCCCCAGTTAAGAAGTGGGCCAGCCAGGTACCTCTCAGGGGTGGGGTTTACTCTAACAGGGTGTAGTTCAGCTGACCCCACATGGTGTTTCAAAGCCTGCCTTCTTTGTTGCACTTCTCACAGGCCCTGTGTCCATAGAGCCTTTGATCACAGCACAGCTGTCCTCCAGCATCCTCCTTCTGCAAACTCACATTCTTAAGGTCAAACGTTTGCCAGCAACAGCTCACACACACTGCAGCCATGAGCACAAACTCGGGCTGGGTTGGGAATGGATCAGGAGGAGCCCTGGGAAGGACTGAGGGCCATTGGGACAAGAAGCTCAACATGACCTGGCAATGTGCACTCGCAGCCCTGAATGCCAACTGCATCCTGGGCTGCATCCAAAACAGTGTGGCAGCAGGGCAAGGCAGATGATTCTCCCTCTCTGTTCCAATCTGTAGGGAGCTCACATGAGGTATTGCATCCAGCACAAGAATGATGTGAGCCTGCTGGAGCAAGGCCAGGGGAGGGCCATGAAGATGATCTGAGGGCAGGAGCACCCCTCCATCCTATGAAGACAGAGTGCTGGGGCTGTTCATCAGGGGGAAAAAAGGCTCCTGGAAGATCTTATAGCAGCCTTCCAGTACCTAAACGGGAGTACAAGAGAACTGGAAAGGGACTTTTACCAGGGCTTGTAGTGACAGGACACAGGGGAATGGCTTTTAAATGAAAAAGAGTAGGTTTGGATTAGATATCAGGAAGAAATCCTTTACTGCAGGGCACTGAGGCACTGGGACAGGTTTGCTCAGAGATGTGGATGCCCCATTCATGGGAGCCTTCAAGGTGAGACTGGATGGCACTTGAAGCAGCTTGTTTGAGTAGAAGGTGTCCCTGCCCATTGCAGGAGTTTCAAATGATTTTTAAGGTCTCTCCCAACCCAAACCATTCTATGATTCTATGACTCTATGTGATTTGGCATTATGACTTGAATAAATGAATAATTACTGAAAGGGGTTTCCAAGGGCAGAAGTTTTGCAGCTTCTCCTGACCCCCTCTGAGGTAGTGCAGGGCAGGGAGCAGCTGGGTGAGTGTTGTGCTCAAGTTGTCCTCCTTCCTGTCCTACTGCCAGCACATGGCCCATCACTGGGGTGGTGGTGGACAGGAAATTTCAGGCTGGTAATCGTAATGAGATTTACTCAGTCCTGCTGTCTTGTTTGCCTTGTATCACAGGGCATCTCCCAGGATGTACTGTATCTTGAAAACTTGCTTGGCAAAGAGTGACAGGAGCTGCACTGGGGCAGGCCTCAGCAGAAGGGAGCCACATATACAACTTGCTGATGACCTTTGATTCGACTACCAATGTGTAGCAAGCAAATATTTAATCCCATGCCATTCAGAAGGGAAGCACAGCTTTAGCATGGGGAACTCGGACAAGGGGTGCTGCTATGATACTCCTGGGCAGTGTACAAGAAGGGGCAAGCAGCCCCTTTCCCCTCCTCTTCCACTCCAGCAGAGCAGCCCACCCTGCCCACACCAGGGAAGGGGCAGATGCTCAGACCCCAACAAGTCAAGTGGTTGCTGTACCAAGGAAGACAGGAGTTTTAAAGCTGTTTCAAGCCCAAGGACAAAATGACTGTGGCCATTCCTCCTGCCCACATTGCCTGTGACCTCATACAGGCAGAGGCTGTGTGACAGGGAGGCCACCTCTGGATTTGGCTGCCTGCTGTGACCAGCGGGCTGGACCCAACTGCTGGTCTCAGTATGTGTCAAGAAATCTATTGCTGTTAGTTAGGTGCAGCAACAGGCCAAGAGGGTATTTATCCCTCAGAGTGGGGCTGAATTAGCTCTTTTGGTCAGTTTATAATTAGGTACACACATTTAACAGTATTCTTTCTGTTGGATTTTTATAGTTTTGTCTTTTCTTTTTTAAACGTGAAAATAATCAGTCTTAAAATAAAATAATTTATAAAAAAATACTCTGGGAAGTGATCTATAAAAGGAGAAAATCCTTGCCAAGGGAATGCCACAGCAGCGAGCCCAAGCCACAGAAAGCCCGGCTGAAGGCTTCACTTTGCCGCAGCTTCTCAGAGGTTAACCAGGGTCTGTAAGCAAACAGCTTAAAGAAGGAGCCCGGCTTAGTGCCTGGGTCTCGGGCTGTCCCAGAGCCTACCAGCCTAATGCCCTTGCAGCAGCCCCTCCCTCCCAAAGGCGATGCTGGGCAAACACAGCCGGCCCTCGCCCTCTCCTCCCGCGGCGCGGAGCCCTGCGGGGCCGGACCGGACCGCGCTGGGGCCCGGGGGCATCGCAGGAGAGGGTGTTCCACTTCGGACGGGCGCAGAGCCATGTGTATATAAAGCCCGGGGCAGCAGCCCGGCAGGGTTGTTTAGCGCAGCCACACCTCGGCTCGCTTGGCAGCACGGCGAGGACGGCCGGAGCGCCGGCAGCTGATACCCGAAGTACCCGAGCGTGGGAGCGATCTGCCCATGGGCCCCCGCCTGCTGCTGCTTCTGGTGCTGCTTCAGGCAGGTGAGTAGCACCCCTCGGTCCCTCTGCCCTGCCAGGGGACAGCCTCTCCCTGTGCCATCAGCTTTGCGTGCTTCGCGCCAGGACCTCCGTGTGATGTGGCCAAGGGAGGGAAAAAAGCGTCACCAGACAATCCTCAACTTTACAGTGAGGGGACTGTGCAAGTGAGCTGCCTGCCTGCCTCACTTCCCAGCCCCAGCTATGGTTTGCGTAAACTGTATAAACACAGGCCTTTTTCTTTTTTAATAGTTTTCTGCTACAGAGTTTTTAGTGTCTGTGTTTCATAGAAATACCTTCTTTTTATACCGGTGTCCATGGAGTGAGCAGTTTTCAACGCATCTGAATTGAATATAATTTTTTAAAATTCGGTTTATAAAAGCCATAAATGGCTGCTAACATAAAGCCCCTACAGAAAAAGGCAACAAAATACTAAACTTGCATGTCTGAGGTTACACCTGCAGTAGAGTTTAAAAGAAAAAAACAGCCCTCTGCCTTCGTTAACAGCAAAGCCTGCCAGTTTAAGCAGGAAATAGTACTAAGTTGTCAGATGCACCTCTGCTCACCTCTCTGCAGGTATGTTCTTCTCTAAGGTGGTCCATTAGTAGTTTAACTAATTATTGGACACGCTGCTAATGGAACATGTGGCTAGGAGCAGGCTACTGTGGAGACTCAGACTTTTTCAAGGCTTTCCTGGCTGTGTGGGCTTGGCTGCCTAACATAGAGAAAGCAATTTCAGTTCTTGGTCAAGTTATTAGCTGTGCTCCTGAATATTAAAAATGTACTTGCTGGGGCTGACCTCTCAGCTGCAGCAGCACACTGCTGGCTCAAAACCCAGACAGCTTTCAAAGAACAGGAACATCAGAGGCTGCCTGGATGCCTCTTGCAGAAGACACAGCCCTAAGCAGACTAATTGAGTCTTTTGGACTCAGTTTCCTTTGGGGCATTCTCTCCACTTTCATAGCAACTCTGCACTGTAATTACAGTTCCTTGATCTCCAGAGAAATCCCCAAAAGAAGAATGGCCTTTCTTCTTCTGAGTGAGGTACAGTTACTTTACAGCAGCCTCAACCATTTTCAGCCAGTGGCCAACAAGCCAAGTCCAGCAGTCCTGGCTTAAGAGGCCAGTGAAAGACAGCTAAAAAAAAAAAGAAAAAAAATCAAGCCATTTGTCAGAAGGCTGGGATTCCTACAAAGAAGTTTTTGTCTCCACTGGAATATTTTCAGGGTCTGCAAACTGCAACAGGTTGAAAAAGCTTGATTTATACCCCCAAATCCAAAGTAGCTCAGTACTTGTGATTTCCCCTGAGAGCTAAGCCCCCTTCTAACTCTGGAGCCTTGCTGTTTAGACAAGGAAAATAAGTGGTCTCTTTAGTCCTCAATAAAACCCATCCAATGTGTTTTTAGCATGAAACCTGAACACTCAAGTAGTGTTTAGGTGAGCAGCTGCTTACTTTTTCAGGAATGTGCATTTAATACCCGAGGAATGCCCCAGGAAGCAGACTGAGGCTGTGCTGTGACAGCCTCAGTCACAGCAAGTGACTCCTGGGGTGAAAATTATGGCACCCACTCCTGCTGGGAGGTCAGGCTGGGAGAGGGAGCAAAGCCCTGCCTTGTCCTTCATGGGGAGAGACCCTCCTTGTTTCGCTGGCATTTGGATTGGGCTCGGAGGGCAAGCTAGCCCAGGAGATGCGGGAAGAGGCCCAAGCAGGGGGATTAGAGGCTAGGTTTTAAAAGGAAAGCAACTGTTTTAATAATAGTATTGAGTCCTTGGGTGGTTTAGGGGATTAGCCCGTGTTTGCACAACACTTTGAAGAGGTCAAGCGTGCTGCAATAGCCAGGAGCAGGTGGAAAAGCAACGTCAGTGGCCAGTTCCCACCTCCCAGGAGTCACCTCCCTCTCCATCCAAGCATGCTGGAAAGCCCCCGTTTGGTTTTGGAGCGGCTGTGCATGGGTGGGATGAGCAGATGGGTCAGGCTTTTGGGCTCAGGATTTTTATCCTCCTGACAGAGCAGTGCAAAGTGCATTTGGTCCTTCACAGTAAATCCAGGCATGAAATGCTCCTATTTATCACTACAGCATGATAAGCAGCAACGTTTGCTACTGAGCATCACAGTGATTTGAGTATTAGGGGCAGGGCACTCTTGGTTTCCACAACAGTTACTGCAAGAATGAGCCTGTGCCTTCTAAAAAAGTTCCAAATTAACATGCAAAATCACGAGACTGTTTGAAAGACTTGTAACTCAAAAATCTCCAGACTGGTTTGGGTGGCCATCCACACACTCCAGCTGACACAAAGCTTCTTTCTTCTTCTTTCCCCAAATTAGTGCGGTCCACCTGTTACGACTTAGGTGGAACATAATAACAGAAGCGGACACAAGTGTTGCCAGCACTTCCAGAGTCTCAAGAGAAAGCAGCTACACTATACACACATCTTGGCTAATGGAGGCACTTTGTCCTTGACAAAGTGTAACTCTACAGGCTCAGGGGCGTGTAGCTGTCTATGCAGATTAGTAGGACTATCAGTATGTTTTGCCACCTGGAAAATGGGTTAAAAGATCCTGAATAATAGGGAAACTTGGATATCGTAAGAAATCTTGAGCAACATAGAAACTTCATTTCGTTATGCTGCTTCATGTCCCAGTCAGGACCATAGCATAGCTGGAAAAGTGTCCCAGGTTTGGGAGCTCTGGAGTGCAGCGAAGCCCAGGTGGCCCTCCATGGTGCTGGCACAGGCCCTGCAAAGCTTAACAGCTTGGGCTCCGTGATGAGCAAGACCACACACACTGCTCCTGGGTGCAACACAGCTGCAATCACACACTAGCACACCAGAACTAGTAAGTCCTGCTTGAATTGAGCTCCTGTGGAAGAAATGGCATGCTTGGGCACTTCTGCAAGCACCTTTTGATTATCTCAGACACAGGCAAAGCTCCCTGCAGAGTACCTTTGGCCAGCTGAATGTCATGACTAGTTAGATTGTCAGGGCTGCACCCAGCCAACCAGTCAAAATCAAAACCATCTCCCTTTAAGGACTGTAGGAAAATCAGTAGCAGGCATGTTTAATCCTTGTGTGTAACCATGTCCTGTCTTTGCAGTTTGGAAAGGTGCTCTGGGAAAGTCCCATTCACTGCACACTCGAGGAATCATTGAACTGGCTGGAGCCATAACGTGTGGCACAGGACGGTCTCCCTTGGCATATATTGGCTATGGGTGCTACTGTGGACTGGGAGGACGAGGCTGGCCTAAAGATAAAACAGACTGGTAAGAGAAACCTCAGCCATGTGTCCAGAAGAAGTGCAGATCTCCCTACTTTTCTCTGTGCTACTGTGACTCCACTAACTCATTGGCTGCCCTGTGGGCAGGGAATTTAGTATATATGAAACATACATGGGTAATCACTCCCAAATCCCCACTATCGCTTGGGATTTGAAGGAGGGCTTAACCTCCTTCTGGATGACACCAAAGCTCCTAGGAATTTGTACAATATGTGGGGTAGAGGGCAAAGGAGAAACCAGGATGTAATTTTTTGAAATAGCTGTTTGTTTTTTCATAGATAGCACACCCTGCCTGATGAAAGGAGTGTATTCCAAGGTATTTGGAGGTTTATTTCACCTAGGTCCTTAAAATGGAAGTGATGGAAATATCACTGTTTATCCTCTTGAAGAAATCCATATCATTGCAAGGAGTAACCAAACCTGTTGCCTTCATCGGCTGTTAGTTCCCACTGAATCAAGGCAGAACAACAAGGGAGAGCATGGTGTTATTTCCCCTTTTCTTTGTTAGTAGGGAAGATGTTGGCCTTCTTATTCCCAACAAGTGTTGGAGGTATTGCATGCAATCAAAGGCTTCTTTCCTGTACTGTGCAATGAGCATAAAGAGAGTAAATGAGAGTAAAACTGAGGATAGTGGACTCTTGTTGCTCTGAGCCTGATATTTGATATTTCAAACCTGGCAAGATTGCAAAGTCAAAGCACACAAGTCTATCTACAGTCAACAGACCAGGTGCTACTAGTAAGCAAGCGCTGCTTTTAGCAGGGGTGAAGGTAGTCTGCAGCTCACTGGGAAGGAAACTGAGCTTTCCAGAATACCTTGCTACTGGAGACATTGTGGGTTGCTACAAAACCAGATTTTGCTGAATTAGAATGACAGAAAAAAGGGACGGGGGGAGTGAAGGAAGAAAAGATGTCAAAGTTAAAGATTTCTTTGGGCATGAATGAGAAGTTGTCCGTCCCTTAAGACTAATGGAGCTGTCTTCATTAATGCAGCGAGATGTTTCACTCCCAAAGCCCTCTCATCATAACTCTTTATTTGTCTGTGAAATATTTCATCTATGAAACAGTCAATGTGGGCCTCACAAATGATAAGTAGCTGCAGTAATATCTCTTGACCTGCTTCTCACAGTGCTTATCTACAGCAGTGTATGTAAGGTGTTTAATTATTTTTTGTTATCCTTTAACAAATAAAGCCTTGAAAGTAATTTCATAATAAAGCCTTGAAAGTAAAACATGACTTCACTAATTTGGAGCACTGCTTTTATGGAAGGGCTGAACAGCTGTTTTCCATAGAGGCTGAGTGCCATCCAAATTTATGTAACCCTGGGAGATGCAAGTAGTCATCACTCCTGAAAAAGAGAGTAAAATATGGCCACGTGATTACCAGCCAGTGTTTCTGCTGTTGTTTAAACTGCATGGAGTATTTTAGGATTTTATCCTAAAGGCAGAAAAATGAGACTTTGCAAGTGAAAATGCCTCAAAATATCAGATAGTTTGTAAAAGGGAAGCTTGATCCTCTAAGTACATTCATTATTATTCCTTAGCTGCAATGCTTGACTGCTGTAGAAAAACTTAAAAGTTTTATTTAGGTTCTTAGCTAGGAAGAATCAGCAATGCCACACTAGATTTAGGCCTAAAAAATTATATTTTCTGCTTGCTAGAGAAATATTGATATCTGTTACTAAGAACTACTGCAATGATCAGTGTGGTTGAGTACCCCACACCTGTCAAAGTGACCTCATTATTTTCCATATTTGTCATTCTAAAAGAGAAAGAGAGGCAAAACTACTGGCTGTGAGTGACAGATACTGTTGAAAATTATTCACCTCCTTGACCTTCCAGGTTTGTTACAGAGACCCTTACAAAAGGAGTAATTTTCTCTTGTGTAATTCAGTCAATCTGTCTAGACAGGGCTAGAGTGCTTCTAAGCGCCTCTCTTTTATGTGAAAAAGAAGAAAAAGCCATTGAGTGGGTAATCCTTTTATAAGGTTTATTCCACGTACTGACTTTGATGTGGTGTTGTCAGTAATTACCTTTTCCCTTTTGTTCCACTCTCACTTCAAGGCATAATGACATTTCTTCCACACAGAGGCATTCGATTTGTTTCTCCTTCTTCTTTCTGTTCCCCTGGATTGCTGCAGCACCTATGTTGTAAAGTAGAAGCTAAGGGTGCTCAGCACTTCCCTGGAAACACCATGAAAGGCAGGGTGCATCTTTGACTCATCTAAGTCACAGGATCGTTAAGGCTGGAAAAGATCTCTAAGATCATTGCATCCAACTGTTAAATCCTGGACAGCTCGTAGGGAAGAGTAAGATTTCTCCTCTGTCGCAAGGTTAAAGCAAAAGGAAAAGCCACGCAGCAATGAGGGTGCCGTTGATGTGACAAATTCTTACCTTACTGGCATTTGCTCAACAGCAGGGGTCTGGCCAGCTGCTCCCTGCGGAATAGCCGGAGCTGTCTGTAGCCTTCAGGGCTGTCTCGTAGCCCAGCCGAGATGAGCAGGTTGTTGACTAGCCAGGTGACACAGCTGTGCTTGTTTGCCATGGCTGGTGACCAGTGCTCTGCCTTGGCGTTGGCTGCCTCTGTTTGTGTTGATGTGACCGAATGTTAGCAGGTCATTAAAAGCTTAGCATCACTCTGTCCCAGGTGCAGCAAAGGGCATTTCCAAACGGGAGGGGACCATCTGAAGGTGGCACAGGAAAACAATAGCATTCCTTAGTCTTCATTCCTTGACAGTTCTTTCAGATGTCTGTAAAATTCTTGCTTTGCGTTGGAATAAGCTATCTGTCACCTTGCTGCAGCTGTGAGGATCATCAGGAGGAACTGCTGTAAGGAGAAGCAGAATTGTGCCCCAAATCCTGTGGCTCTGCAGAGTTCATGCAACTTCCCCTGGTTTTGCCAAGCCAGATAATGAGCAGCGAGTCCTCCTCACAGCTAGCTAGAACACCATTTGCTTGTGCAAATTCAGTGCTCATTTGCTTGTCCTTGACTGATTCAGAGAACGTCTTTTGCCCCCTACAATATCAGTCCTCATTTCTCCCACCTCTCTTTCTCTTTGTTCCCTCTGGCTCTTCATAAAGGGCAATTTCTTTCCCTTGGCACAGAGGGTCCTAACACCTCCCTTTGCTCGTGTATCTTCACATTGTTTTTCTTCCCCATACTCCCCCATCACTGACACCAACTTTACCAATCTGGCTACTGACTCACTCCCCAGACCTCACAAATGTTTGGTTTCTATAGCTGGCACTCCCCTTCACCACAGCCTCTGATGCTCAGTGTCCCATGTATAAGACACTATTGATGGGCCTGCTCTGCTACCTATCATTCTTTGCTGCAGCTTCAGGGTTTTTAATATGAAATCAGCCTGCCTCGATTTTTCCTAGTTAATAGAGTGGTTTCTCTGTAGCGTCACAGTGATCTTGCAGGGATGTCTTCTGAAAATACAGGAGATCACTGCTCTCTGGCTCCAGCCTCCGACCTTGCATCCTTGCTGAAACAACCTTTGTTATTCAGCAGAGAACGTCTCTAAGTGCTGAATCTTTTCTTGGTGGAATTTGAATTCCTAAACTACAAGAATAACATTCAAGTGAGGTCAAGTTTTCCATAAATTCAGAAGTAATTGACAGTGAGAATGATCTCACTGACTAGTCCATAGGACAGATGTCATCAGCTGAGCTATTCATCCTCATTCCCTCTATGGTCAGTGAAACACAACTGCACTTTTCAAATCTGATGCTTTTCACTCTGTATTAGATCTCTGCAGCATGAAATGTGAACTGTGGTGTGGAGCTTTCCTGTTCTGAGGATGCTGTAATCTGATATTAAGACTCCTCCCATGGGACACCTGAAAAAAACCCGGCCCCTTGTCTGCTTGCTCTCTCTGCTCTCAGCTCTCTGGGGCTGTGCTCGGGCTCCCAGCCCTCCACCTCCTGCCCCCCTCCCCCGGCACGGGATGGCAGGGGGAAATAAAAGGGACTCCTGTGCTGAACAACGAAGAGACTTGTCTCATCTGTTTCCCCTGCTGTGGAGACACGATCTCCTCACTGTCGCCACATGCTGCTGCACTGTGGTGCAGATGTGCATAGAGGGAAGATAGGTGAATGCCTTAGACGTAGATGGTTCTTAAGGTTCTTAAATTAACTCATATGAATTTCACCATTGAGACTGATTCATTTGTAGCCTGCCTCAGAACATTTATGGGCCAAGGAGCACATGGCAGGTGAACTGAAGAGACTAAGCTTCTTGGTGATTCTGAGGAAGGCAAGAAACATCCCAATTCCAAGTTTTGGGATGGGTCTAAGCCTAAGCCAGTGAGCCACAATAGCACAATTTATCGGAACACTTCTGCTCCTTTACAGCCAGATTACCGTGTCTTGACCACACATGCTTTCATGAGGTCAAAAGCTCAGAGGAAGAAGCACAGTGGTCATGGGAGCAAATATGGCATTAATGAGCTCCTGAAACAAGCGAGCTTTCCCAGAGATGGCAGGAGGATCCTTGCATCATCAACAGATGATTTACTGGCAGGCTGGGGTGAACATTGCTGTCGTGAGCTGTGTGTGAGCAAAGCAGCCCTGGAGTCTGTGCCAACAGGCAGGATGCAGGAGGACACCCATACTCTCTCTTTTTATGTCTCCCAGGTGCTGCCACAGGCATGACTGCTGCTATGACACAGCAGAGAAGGAAGGCTGCACCCCCAAGGTGCAGCGCTACCAGTGGGAGTGTGAGCAGAACATCGTGCGGTGCGGTAAGGAAAGGCTGGCTCCTGTCGCTTGGGTTTCCCTCCCTCCCTTCTTCCCTCCCTCCTCTGCAGGCAGCAGGCTGAACAAAGAGCTTTGGGGGCCCCAGAGGCAAGTTTGTGTTTGCCAAACTGGTTTCAAAACTGCTTTAGGCAATGTCCAACTCCCTGCCTGTTCCTCGCCAGGAGCTGGGAGGAAAGCTGGAGCACCAGCACAACCCATTCCAGGTAAACTGAGATCCACCCAGGCTGAAGAGCAGGACTGGGGGCCATGGAGCCCACAAGCCATCTTAGTTTGGCAGGGATGCAGATGACTCTCTGGAGACTTTCTGCTCACTGGCAATAAGCCTCTTCCTACAGTTGTGGGTCTTCAGGGGTGCTTTTTCCATTGCAGTTCTGGCCCTCTCTCCAGCAGGACTGTCCACTTTTTTACTGCCCTTAAGCACTGCTATTGGATGGCTGCAAGAAAGGTTAAATAGGATGTCAGCCTGCACCGCTGCCCCATGTGGGGCTCCAGCCTGAAGTCTTGGGGTTCCAGCAGGGATTTGGAACCATGCAGAATCAAATGCTCTCGAGTGCTTCAGGCAGACAGCAAGTGTGGGCTGTGCTCAGCTCTACAGCTGGTACCCAGTCAAGAAGGTTTGAATTGCACAGTCACAGCCCGTCAGTGTTTCGCACAGTTTGTTTTGACATACACCAGATGACTTGAGTCTTAGATTTTGTCGTTTGTTTTTCTAAGTCTCCAGAAAGCTCCTGGTTGTAAAATCCATTGTGGAAGACTTTGAAAGTTTGAGAAGAAATTGTGAGAGTAAAACTTATCCCCAAAATCATTAAAGTTACTTCTAGAACATTAAAATACTATTTCTACCTTATCAGAAAACCATATTTTACTGGTGCAATCCTCAGCCTCACCAGCAGCTGAAGATCTGCCAGCAGATAGTGGATGGGACACAGCACCTCTGCAGTTGCTTTTTTCCAAGTTCCAGAACAATCTAGTAAATACAAAGTCCTGGCAAAGGAATGTGTCACTTTAATGTACAACTGCTCTCCCTCCTGTCATATTTCCATAGCTGACTGATATTTTCTGCTAGTCATTTTACAGGCAAAAAGTCCTGTTTCTCTTTGCTGTGAAGGAACAATCCAAGTTGCAGATATGAGATGTATAATTCTGTCCATGGGATGGATATAGGAGTGCAGCAGGATGCAGTTGCTCTGACTTGGCCAACAAGCATAAGTTAAACGAATTTCATTGATTCCTTAACTGATGTCCAGGTTAGACCTGGTGCATCCACCAACTATTCTCCACAAGCCCTCAGCAGGCTACACTCCCCCTGATATCCCTGGTGAGGAGGAACAATAGAAATGTGTTTTGAAGGCAAATTTCCTTCAAATATATATATACAGGTCTTAATGCGATGTGAAGGTGTAATGTCTGATTCCATTCAAACAAGAGAGATGAAGTATTAAATTTCCAGGCATGCTTGCTGAGCTCAGGGTGATGATGTCCAGAAGTGTTAGAAGCAGAACTGTTTGCACTGTCATTTCAATGCAACAGGAATTAGATGCCTGTTGTCTGACACTATAACATAAATACAGACATTTTCATGTAAAATAAGCAGAAACTCATTTTACTTGGTATTTCTTCTCTTTTTGCTACCATTATGTAGTTTTGTTCGTGGAATGAAAAAAAAAAAAAAAACTGGCAAAACCATATTCTTCAGTCTAGATATGCCATCACCTGTAGGCAAATTCCATTCAATAGATAACTGGAACATAGAAAAGGCTGTTAGTTGTGGGATCTGGTCAAAAATATCATTCCTCTTGAATGAATGTTACAAAGCCAGACTTTTGTACTCACATTTGATGAACAGTTGCTGGCCCAGCATAGGAAGAGCTCAAGGAACAAAGGGGCAAGGAGAGTATCAGGCAAGACTGGTAGCTAAGAAAAATGTGTCCGTAGGTCCTCACCGACCCTTAAAACACTTTTAGCAGTAAATATGTGATTATTCCAAACAGCTTAGGAAACTAGGGCTTTTCTTATTTTTCCAGATACAGGGTTGATCCATCAAAGTCCAGTGAAATCTGAAAAAATTCCTGTACTTATTCCAATTGGTTTTGGAGTGAAGCCCATGTGCACTGGCACATTAAACTTTGCCTACTGCAGAGTTTTGTGGCTGTTAGGTAACCCATGGTAGCAGCCTCAAATAAGCAAGGCATTGTGCCTTAAAATAATATTAACCCAACAACTGCCTTTAAACCACTTATAGCTGGGATGAGGTTCATTAACCCAAACTCAGTCATTTGCAATGTAGCCTTCTAAGCTAGTGGCTTTGATGTTATTTATGGTCATGCAGTCACATATTTGCATTCTGTATATTTCCATGTATGACTTTGATCGCTTTGTTAGCTGCTAGCTCATCAAAATCAGGTACCTGGCCCTGCTGCAAAGCTCCTTGGCTCCTCTGCTGTGATCAGAGACAGCAGCAACTAATGCAGCAAGTGTGAAGGGTGCCTGGTGGGTGCTCTGACACCTTCAGGTTTGTCAACATCCCTCTGGGAGGCTCTTTCTTTCAAAGCAGTTGTAATTTCTTTTGAAATAAGTCTGTTTTGCAGAGGGAGGAGTTAGAAGGAAATTCACCACCTGAGGAACAGTGGAATATTTTTACCGCAGGCTAAGGTTAAATAATTTTCCTTTTTAGCTTTGACTACTGAATTAAACCCTCACAATTCACACAGTTCTAGAAGCAGGGAGTGCTCTGTGCTGAGCAGATTTTTATAAGCTTTGCCAATCTACATTTAGCTGCTAATTTCTGATGCTCTTTGTCACAGTCAAGGTCAGACCTGTTGACAGAGAGGGCAGGGGAGGGTCAAATCCACTCACAGCACAACATGTTGATCCTGCTGCCACAGCCTTTGATCCCTAAGGGCTGTTTTTTTAGGGAATTTTTTCTCCTAAAACTGTATCTTGCCTTTGATACAGAATTTCTCATCTTCAGCTCACATTTTCTTTTGCAGATAACCTGACAGACCGATGTGAAAAAATGGTGTGCCTGTGTGACCAAGAAGCAGCCAAGTGCTGGGGAGCAGCCCCATACAATCCTCACTTCATCCTCTGGCCAGACTTTTTATGTGGACAGACTCATCCCACCTGCCATGTCAGATATGGGGGGCCGGAATAGTCTTTTTAGGACCTTTCTTCAAACAATTTGAATTTGAAGGCAGTGGAATAAAATTTTTCCTCATTTTCCAGATCTAGCAATGGTGTGAGAGAATTTCTATCAATCCAGGATTTATGGGTAGGAGAGACAGACCAGAAAGGTGCGGTGGTGGAGTTTCCCTCTCTGTGAGACAGCACTTGGAATGTATTGAGCTCTGCCTTTGGGTGGACAACAAGCAAGTCAAGATCTCATGGGTTAGGAAAAAAGGGCAGACAAATAGAGGTAACACTGTTGTGGGTGTTCGCTACAGGCCACCTGAGCAGGAGAAAGTGCTTGAGGTCTTCTACAGACAGCTTGAAGCAGCCTCACAGTCACAGGCCCTGGTTCTTCTGGGGGACTTTAACTACCCTGACATCTGCTGGAGAAACAACAGGTGACAAAAGTGATTAAGGGTGTGGAGTGTCTCTCTTATGAGGAAAGGCTGAGGGAGCTGGGTCTGTTCAGCCTTGAGAAGAGATGACTGAGAGGGGACCTCATCAGTGTCTATGAATAACTGAAGGGAAGATGTCAGGCTGTGCTCGGTGGTGTCAAGCAATGGAACATGAAGGCATTGAGTAGAAACTGATGCACAAGAAGTTTTACCTGAACAGGAGGAACAACTTCTTTACTGTGCAGTGACCAAGCACTGGAACAGGTTGCTCAGAGAGGTTGTGGAGTCTCCCTCACTGGTGATATTCCAGACCTGTCTGGACACAACCCTGTGCCATGTGCTGTGGCATGACCCTGCTTGAGCAGTGAGGTTGGACCAGATGATCCACTGTGCCCCTTCCAACCTTACCCAGCCTGTGATTCTGTGACAGGTAACATATATGATGAAGCAAAGGGAAGATCCTGCTCTGATCATGATCAAGATCTCTTTTGCAGAAACAGAGGGTTTGGTCTGTGGTGCAGTGGGAACACGTCTCCTGTCAACAAATAGTGTTTTTGTTTCTTTTTTAAATCATAGACTCATAGGGTAGTTTGGGTTGGAAGGAGCCTTTAAAGACCATTTAGTTCCGATCCCTGTGCAATGAGCAGGGACATCTTTAACCAGACCTGGTTTCTCAGAGCCCAGTTGTCTTATCCCTCATGCTCCTCCATCACAGCACTGGAGACGCTTCTGAGCTGTGTTCAAGGGTAAGCAGAGTTAAGCTGGGCTATTGCACTTGCAAGGTCAGCAAGGATTTCTGGCTTCTGCTTACCAGCAGGTGTACCCACACTTTGTAAAAGAATATTCTCACTGCTCCACAGGCTTCAGAGCTCATAAACTTCTCTCTGATACATATAGAAGCTGGTCTCCTACACAGGCATGTCCCCCAGTCACTGACTGCCTGGGAATCAATCATTGTCACATCAGGAAACAGTGGCTGTGGAGAACATCAGCCATGTCAAGCAAATCTTTCCTCTCTCCTTCTTCTTTTTTAAGGGTATTAGAGGCTTATATTCAAAGGCTACTTTTCCTTCTGGCAAGAGAAACCAAAATCCTATTCTTTCAGCCAGGAGTAGCTATGTAGGAGTGGGCCCTCTTTGCATCTTCGTTGCAAGCATTCAGGCTGGACAAGCCAACAGGACAAGAGCCTCTTTGGCAGGAGGCACAGAAGATGGGAGCCACTCCTGCTCCCCAGAAGCAATGCTTCTGATTTCCTCGGGGAGGTGCTAGCACTGCATGGGCACCTGGAGCACCTGGGTAGGGCTGGGCTCCCGTCTCTGCTGAAACTCAGCTGGCAAACTTTGAACTGCACCTATAAAATAAGAACTAATGGCACAGAGAGACCCAGGGTGCCTCATCAGAGTCCAAACTAAGTGGAGTTTTTGCAGGTCATTGATAATATGAATTTCTTCACAAAAAAGCTGCTTTGCTTCTTGCTGCAGGAGGATGGTATATATGCCACTGTGGCTGTCAAAGCTGCAGGAAAAAGAATTTTGCTAATGAAAATAAAAATGCCAAAGTCAACATGTAGAGACAAGGGCTTTTATTCCGTCTAGAACTCCGTTTTTTGGCTTATGGGGCATCAAAAGTTGTTCCACCTGCAGGTTTTGCTTATCCCAGCGACTCCTGTGATGCTGCACATCAAGCTATGCTGAGCAAGAAGGAAAGGAGAGAGAATGAGTGAGCAACACAGAGTCAGGACAACACAATAAACTCCTCCGAGGCTTTCTGGCAAAAGAAGAAGTTGTCAACTCTTAATGTAGAGCGTTTGCAGAGGGATGATGCTGTGTGGGCAGCATCAGCCTATGGAAGGGAGTGCCAGATCCTCCCCGGAGAGAGCGGCAGAGCTCCTGGCGTGTCCCTGTCCCCTGTCCATCAGGTGGCGGCAGCGCTCCAGTGAACTGCAGGAGCGGCTCTTCTGCAGCCCTTCGGGGAGGGGATTTTTTCACCACGCTGAGAAAGATTTTTGAGCGCCAGGAGAAGTGCAAATCACACGTCTCCCAGTGAATGCAAAAAGTCTGCTGAGCTCGCTCTGAAACGCATACCACATCTTGGGTTGCTCAAAATGGGAACTAAACTTGTTTCAAAATGCAGTGTCAGTCTCCACAAATTGGACCAATTGACAGAACAGAAAAATGTAGGTGAGCTTTTAGGTACATCAGCCTCTTATTGGGGCATTTCCTTGGCTCATATGTGGCGAAAATGTCTGGTTTTCCCAACATTATCAGCTGATCTCATGGAAGTAGGGCTTTAGAAACCACACCTCACACACCTAAGCCATCATCAGCTATATACACAAGCATTGCAAGAATACAAATGGAAGCACGAAGTTGGCAGGAGGAAGAACCATCCTTCAGTATAAACATGCTTTTATAAACATAAAAGAACTGAATGAGTCCTTGGTCTTTGTTAAAAGAAGTGGCAGCATGTCATTGAAAAACTCTTAGTCCAAAGTGTCAATTAAAGAAGATCCTATAATTCTTTTTATAGGTAACTCATTAGGCCCATTGGTAAAGCTCTACCCAACATAAACAAAAAATATTGGAAAAAGTGATGGAACACAGAATCATTTCTGTTAGAGTTTCCTTCACACTGCTTGTTTTCTCAATCAGATCCCATGTCTGACCAGAGGTAAGTAAATGTCTAATTTGTCTTTCAGTTAAAACACAGGTACCTTTGGTGAGACTCCTGTCTCATGCAGAGGATGCACTTCCTCAGCTGTGGGGTTAAAACAACGATCAGAACCACTGTGCCTCCAATACCAGCTGCCACAACCCCAATGATTGTTCCAATGGATTCTTCTATGCCAAACAAGCCTGGGAGAGAAAGGAAGGTAGAGAGAGATGTAAAATATTTTCCAGACAAGTATATGCAATGCAGCCAGCATCTTTTCTGCAGTGGCTGCAGAGCAAGCTGCTTACCATGATCACGCTGATGTCTTGTGTGACATGAAATCCCTTCTACACAGAAGAGTGACTTGCACTACAGAGCTGCTGATTTTTTTCATTCCTGTAGGAACTCCTACATTTCATCCAGTGTAGGAACTCCTAAGCAGCATTCCTAAGCTGCTATGCTGTCTGTTGCTTTAGAGACAGGGCAGCCCCATCATCACAGAAATCTCCCTCAACAGACACTATGGGATGGCAAAAGAAGCTGCTGCTTGAATTAATGGGACTCAGGCCTGTATACTTTATTTTTGAAAGGACAAAAATTATTCTGACAACTTCAGGAAAACCATTGGTCTGCCTATCTACTTCCAAGGGAGACAGCACCAGAGAGCAGAGACAGCTCCACTCGAGTCCTTTCTTTGACTGGTTGCTCTTGGGACTGTTGCATGACAGAGATGGCATAGTCCTGAAATTATACATTTCATCATCTCAGGAACACAGAAAGGCAGTTATGCTGGCCAGAGTGCAGACATTTCAAGAGTAACCTGTGCTACTGAGACTATGAGATCAAGTCAACAAGACACACAACCAAAGCCCTTTCAGAGGGGCACAATATGCTAGCTTTAGTGTTACAGTTTAAACTTAGTAGTGTTATAAAAATTAGTAAATCAGGCTCAAAAGCCAAAGGCTTAGTGAATCTTGGTGAGATAGAAGCTTTGGTGATGATAAAGAGGAAAATGGCACTTGCATAATTTACTCTTGACACAGGAAGAGGTATTTTTTGTTAATTAGATAATAAGATAATAACCCTTCTAATGTGTTGACTTTTTGGGACTGAAATCTGTTTAGCCTACATAAAAGGAAAGTTTGACATTTCCAGCTGCTACAGACATAGCAAGTTACCTCTTTACTTAGTATGCCTAGTGTCTATCTGTGAGGCTAAGAAAAAATAGCATGGAATTTCTAATGCTACTTTAATGTGAATGAAGTTAATCAGAAATTATATAACAATCATATTACATATGAGCCTCGTGATTATCATGGGATTACTCATGTCATTCAGAGTTAAGGAATGACTATGCAAGTTAGTGGGTTGGAGAGAAATAACATCCAAAAAAAAGAGGTCTAGAGCTGTTCCTTGAGATGGTACCTTGTCACCTGTCACTCATGGGCGTTCTGCCAGAGCTCTTAGTACAAGGGGAACTTGTCTGACTGTTTCATTCTTTGCAGTGACTTTATTTTTATGGATAACATTAGACTTTCTTTTTGTGGTGTAAATGCTCCTCCTTATAATAATACCTGTGACTGTTTATTGAGACAAGCTAATGAATTTTAGCTGGCCTTACAAAAATAAGGAGAAATGCTATAGAGCAATTACACTCCATGACACCAGCCCCTTACTGCAGAGGCCAAACAGGCCAACTTCTCTCTTTCTACTAGTGTGCAGACCAGCTTTGGAGGAAAAACAAAGAGGAAAAAAGTAACTAACTCCAAGTATTACCCAGAGCCCTCCTGATCCTGAGCTTTGTGCCATGTCCTGTCACCATCTTCCCGTCCGGAAGTGTAACCTCACAGAAATAAATACCATGATCACTGGTTGTCACATTGAGGATAATCAGGGAAACATCCCCTTGGGACAAGTCTCCACTCATGAAGATCCTGGAGTTATTTGGCAGGATGGTCACATTCTTTTCTAGCAGGTCCATCTGCCCCTTTTCATCTTCT